GTTCGCGAGGGGCTGCGCGGCCGTGAGGCCCTGCAAGGGGGGTCCCCGCCTCACCGGGTCCTGACCGAACGGGATGACTTTGACCCGCGTCCGACCCGGATGCCCAAGAGCTCGGCCGTGAGGGCGGTTGGAGCAGGTGTTTATGGTGGAACGAGCCCGGTGCGGCTGATCGAGAGTCCTCTGGACCGGTTTACCGGTTCCCCTGCTGACCCCGGCACAGCCAGAGCCATACAAACCGTGGAAGCTTGTGCCCAGTAACTAAACCCCATCCATTTAAAAAGCTTTAACGAAACTGCCACCAACACAATAACCCTTCAAGTGGTACTAGAACCGTTATATAAACCCCAGTGGTTTTGATGAGAACTGTCTTCCTGGGTCAAGTTAATGCTGCTCCATTCTAGTGCTGACAGTAATAACGGTTTTTAAAGAGCAGGGCTGTTCCATGCAAGCTGGGGTTCACCCACATCCCTGGGATAAGTCGTGAGCTTTGGAATCTTAATTTTGTAGCAGTTGCTGCGACTTTGCTCTTTGTTGCACTTTCTGCAATAGGGTGGACTGTCACAGGAAAGGAGGCTTGGTTGTGTGCCTTGACAGGATACAGGCTTTTGGTGGAGTTGGGTGGCCACTGTGAGAGGCTGCAGCACTTGGCAAAGTCGCACAGCAATCACCTGCCATGAACAGAGGAGAACTGAATGCTGGCCTAAAGCATGTTGGGGGTTGCTCCCAGAAGTGATGGAGATGGCTGGTCCCAAAAACCTTGTAACTTTTCTGGGGTTTGTCCTGGGTTCAGCTGCAACAGTTATTTTTTCTTCCTAGTAGCTGGTGCAGTGCTGTGTTTTGGATTTAGTGTGAGAATGATGCTGATAACACACCAATGTTGTAGTTGTTGCTCGGTAGCACTTACCCTGATCAAGGAATTCTTCAGTCTCATGCTCTGCCAGTGAGGAGGGGCACAAGAAGCTGGGAGGAAGCAGAGACAGGACACCTGACCCAAACTACCCAAAGGGGTATTCCGTAGCACAGCACATCATGCCCAGTATAGAAACGAGGGAGTTATCTGAAGGGGACTGGTCATTGCTTGGGTTGGGCTGGGTATTAGTCAGCAGATGGTGAGCAGTTGTATCGTGCATCATTTGCGTTTATTGCTTTTTATCTTTCCCCTTTTACTTTTATATTCTCTCCCGTTGTTATTTCCTGTATCATTACTGTTAGTAGTAGTAGTAGTATACCATACTTTAGTTATTGGACTGTTCTTATCTCAACCCATGGGTCTTATATTCTTTTGTTTCTCCTCCCCATTCTGCCCAGGAGGGTCCTTTTAGTGTTTCATTTGGTGAGATCTGACATGTTGTTTCTGTTGTGCTGAAAACACTGTGAGGTGGATGAGAAATTGCTGGAGCCTTCTGCTTTTTTAAATCATCTCAACTCTGCACTGAAGAATGATCCCTTTGCATGCATTTTCCTGCCATACACCGTGTCCTACAGTAATTTTCATCATTTCTCTGTGACAGGCTGGTAATGAATGCAGATGTTTGGTTCCCTGCCATTCCTGAACTTGCAGTGGGGAGAACTTGGAATGGCAGGGGCTGGAGGCAGTACTGTGGGTTTCCCACATGTTCTCATGTTCCTGGAAGTGGACGTTTTGTGTGGCGTGCAGCATGCTGCACACTAAGTACAGCTGATGAGTAGGGCTGACTGGCTGATGTCTGGATTAGTTAAGTTCCTAATGGGTGCAGAAAAGGGATTTTTTCAGCATTGTCATCTGTGGCATGAGGAAGGGTGTGGGCAAAGAAGAGAGGGGTGGATGGGGAAGTATCGGTCCTTACCCTTTGGAAGAGAGTCAGCAGTGTTGCTGCTTAGGTTGTTGGAGCAATTCTGCCTTCAGAGCCCTGGAAACCACAGTGCTGGCACATGATTTGTGCATAATGTCTTGATTGAAGCAATCTTGCCTCATAGATAGCAGGGAAAAAATCCCCTGCTGTTGCTTTCTGTTTGGAGAAGGACAGAGAGCTCTTGGTGTACAATATCCAGGTGATCCCATCACAACAAGACTTTCCTGTCAACATTCTTTGTCATCCAGAGCTGTCACAAGGGTTAGTGTTCCTGGAGGCAGGGCAGGATGATAAGACACCCAACTCACTGACCTGGTGTGTCAGGCAGGGATTTCCCAACCTCATTGGCTGGGCCTATTTATTCCCTTTGCTGCTCTGACCCTTGCACAGCACCGACCTGTTGTCCCAGGGGTGACTTCAACAGCTGTGTTGTACCCTGCTGAGAGCTGCACTAGCACCGCTTCATTCAGCCCTCCTGGAGGTGAGTTTCTGCAGCAAAGCAGCACATCAGGCTGTGCTCTTTGTGGACAGTGTTTGCGCAGGTAGTTGTATAGTAAACTAGTGCCAGTAGTACATAACTGTCCTTTCTCTGCTGTTCTACTTGCAGTCATTGGTAGTTTCTTATGATCGTAGGTGCCCACACGCCTTCCTCTTATGTACCTGGCTATTTTCCAGTTAATGTTCTCCTCTCTCCTGAATTTTTGGGGGATTTAAAAGTATAATCGAGTGCTTCAAGCCAACAGGCTGTGCTCTGTAGTCAGCAGCTCTGACCCTCATTTAATGCTAGGTGAGCTTTGCGCCACCTTGCCTTCTCAAAAATGTCTCAAAGAAGTCCTGCCTTGTGTGACCAGGAGTATCTTGGGGCAAGTTTTGTTACCTGAGTTCTATTGCATGACTGTATAATCCTGCAGCATTACACCTTGTTAAAAACCATGTGTGTTGATGTTTGATCTACTGTCCTGGTTTTGGCTGGGGTAGAGTTAATTTCTTCCTAGTAGCTGGTGCAGTGCTGTGTTTCGGATTCAGTGTATGGTGTTTATAACACACCCGTGTTTTAGTTGTTGCTTAGTAGCACTTACCCTGATCAAGGACTTCTCAGTGTCTCGTGCTTTGCCAGTGAGGAGGGGCACAAGAAACCGGGAGTGAGCAGAGACAGGACACCTGACCCGAACTCCCCAAAGGGATATTCTATTCCATAGAACATCATGGTCAGTATAGAAGCTGTGGGGAGTTGGCTGGAAGGGTCTGATCACTGCTCAGGGATGATCTGGGCATCAGTCAGTGGGCAGTGAGCAAAAGTTTGGAGCATCACTTGTCTTTTTTGGGTTTTATTTCTATCTCTTTTGGTTGTATCCAATGAAGACCTCAGTTGTAGTTAAGAACATGGGGGTCATCTCTGCACGTCAAGTTTGGGTGTTAATTTTTCAAGTCTGCTGAGCAAAGGTACTCTGGTCCAGGTGTGGTTCTGCATGTTAACTAGGTGTCTTGAGAGAGAACTCCTCCACAGAAGTAAAATGAATGTAGATGGCTGAAAGTACATTGCTTGTGATTTTGCTGTCCCTGAATTGTTTTTGAGGGTGGTGATGGAGGTGCTTGGTTACCAGCGAAGCACTAGTCCTGCCCAAGATAGCCATGCCTGTGGTCAGAAAGACTGCTCTCTTCTTTCAAGCAGCAGTTGAGTATTCTTGGTCCCATTTTCAGGATGGACCTCAAAGAGCAGTTGCAGTTGCTTTTCCTGGGAGTGTAAGCATAGGTGTGTACAAGCTTCTGGTGTGCTGGCCACAGAAGGGTTCCTTGGCTCTTCCAAAATCCAAATGCCAAAGTTCATCTTCTTAGGAGAGAGCAAGAAGGGTGGGCAGGTGGCTCTCTTCTTGTGTCCTCAGCGTTAGCTACTTCCTACTGCCCTGTAAATAGTGAGCTCTTTCAGGAATGTATGTGGGGGTTTGTGGTAGCTCCTGCAGACTGAGCTGCTCGGGGTGTGAAGTAACACACTGGTCCAAGCATCACCACTGGTACTTTTCATCATCACCGTGAGTGGCAGCAGCTGAAGGCTGGAGACAGTCTGTGAGCAGAGAGGCTGCAGCCCGAGAGCCCCTTGCTGGGGGAGGGTTACTGAGCACTTAAGACGAAAAGTGCTCAGCAGCAGCTCAGACATGACATTGTGTTTAGTAGTTGATGGATTGTGAATTATTAAATGATTCGGATGAAAATGTGTAGTGCATTGAGCAGTATTTGTTGGTCATTGTTGACATTTTATTGTATTGCTTCTGTTAAAGTTTAAATTGAAAGCCTGGTGTAAAACTGATTTCAGGATGGTAGACTGCTGAGGAGTGTAAAAGGCAGCAAGTCATACTTCCTTGTGATAAGGTGTTTGCTGTCAAATTGAGCTGAAAACGTTTTGCTTGGTTTCAAGGACACGGCTTGCAGAGTTGATAGAAGTGAGTGCAATAGGGTGTATTATCTCTCCCTCCAGACTTGTCCTGCCTGTGCTCTTATAATGCCATGGCTACAAGAGAGTACCTATGCTGGACATTTACGTATGTGTTGTGAAGGGGACCCTTAATAATTTACTAAAAATGATAGCAAGATATCTTCATGAAATAGAAGAAGCAGCTGTTGACAAAATTAGAGCATTTTTTAAACTCTGGCAGTTCCACTGTTGGAGTTGAAATTCATTTGTGTAAAATTCAAATTAATTTGGCAACACTGAACTTTTAACACAGAGTTGACAAACTGAAAGAAATTTTTATAAAAATTGTTTATTGGGACTTTGGCATTTTAGTTTAAGGAATTTTTCAGCCTGCACATTGTCTATCCCATGAATTTATAGGCCTTATCTCCAAATGTGACTTTCCCTAAGAGAAATTGATGTAAAAATGTGTGCTCCCTGGTGGTTCTATTTCTCAATTCTGTATAAGTGGGAGAAGCTCTTACACTGCTTTACTGACAATTTCTGTAGCTTTTTGTTCTCTTCTTTCTATACTTTGGAAGGATAAATATGTTCAATGTTTTCCTGAAAATATGTTCAATGTTTTCCTGAAAAAGCTGCAGAAATACTTGTTTCTATAAAAAAGGCAACGAGTATCAGAGTTAATATGAACTTGCACAAGTAATTCCATATGTGCTGCAAATTGTTAAGGGACACGCGTTGCAAACTTTGCTCTCAAGGTATTTTTTTTTCCTTTCTAGCCTCCCAGCTGAGAGACTGAAAGTTTTGGCCTGCTTGGACAAACTGCAACAGCAGCACATGGATATGATGAAGGTAGCCCCAGTGCCATGTCACATCATGTCGGGGGACACTGCTTCCAGGGCTTCACAGCACTCTCCCTATGCCTGTTTCTCTGCCTCCCTCCTTTTGGCTTGGTGGTTTCAGCTGGAGCTGTGATGGTGCCTCTCCATTGCACTAGAAGAGCCCTGCTCCTTGGTAGTGGGTAGTCTTATAGAAACCACATTAACCAGAAGTACTGTTAAAATCATCAGCAGAGAGCTTTATGTGGGCACCTGGCGGTTGTGAGAGGTGGAGTGAGCAGAGGAGCTGTTTGAAGTGTGTTGAGGAGCTCCCCTTTCACATCTCTGTGTAGAGCCTCTCCTTGTGTTTTTCTATTAGCTTAGCCCCAGGCCTGGGTTAACAGACTCCTTGCTTCCAGCAGTTGCTCACAGTGGTGTATGTTGGTTTAACTCGGGCCAGGGCTGCATGTGTTCTTTGGTAGTCTGCACATCTGCTAGAGCTTTGTCAGCTCAGTGACGGAGAGCAGAGAGAGCACAGGAGAGCCTTATTTGCCTCAGTATGATGAAATGGTTTTATCTGCTGTTTTGAGGCAAGGTGTGTGTTTATCTTCTTTGGTAAGTCACTGTAGTTAATCAGATGTCTCTTAAAACCTATGCTTAGGGATGATCAAGGAGTATGCCTTTTGTATTTCAGTTATCTTAGGGTTTGCATGTTATTTTGTGAAAAAGGTAAGAATTATAATTTCCATGCTGCAAAATTTCACTTGATTTTAAAGAACACAAACAGTGTCAAACTGAACACTTCTTACTGGCTGTCTCAGCCTTGTATTGTGGTGTCCTGCTTTAACTGCAACAGCAGATCAGTAAAGACAGTGGTTTTCTCAAGTGTTAAGTCTCCTTCTTAGAGGAGAAAACAAAACACCCAGCCTAACCATTCTAGTTATCTTTTACCTTGATGCCTTTTTTTTTTCCCCAAGTCAAATTTTAAATGTTAATTACACTGTTGTTTGGCTTTTGTAGGTTTTTAATGATCCAATTCATGGGCACATTGAAATACATCCCCTTCTTGTTCGCATCATCGACACACCGCAGTTTCAGCGCCTCAGATATATTAAGCAGCTGGGTGGCACTTACTTTGTTTTTCCAGGAGCCTCTCACAACCGCTTTGAACACTCTATAGGGTAAGGTGGTGATGTCTTGCATTTGCATTCCCCTGAGTTTAGTTCCATTACTGTGGAGTGCCAGCCAAGGGGCATTGCTGTCTTTGAGCACTGGTGGGTACTGCTGTGGTGGCAGTTATGGTCTCAGAAATGTTTCTGGATGTGCTGTGTGATTATGGGCTGTTCCCTTGAACTTCGTTTAACACAGACAGATAAAGAAGCCAACAAGATGGATCAATGTTAGATTTCCTTTCCCACCACTTCTGCTTGTGAGAATCATGTTAATTAAAAACTGTGAGTGGTTTATGTTCTCCTTGGTCAGAACTTGAGTTTTAAAGCACAAACCTGGGAAGGGTACCGGGCCTACTCTAAATGACTTGCCAGACAGTTGTATTGCCCTCATATTGTTCAGCACAGCTAAACCCCATTTTATCAGCAATGTTTGCATTTGCAGCTGTGTGTGCTTTGTGCAATTGACAGCAATTGGTCAGGCTGTTTGCAGTAAGGTAAACAGAAACAGATGATGGACCCAAGGATTCCCAGAGTGTTCTAGGTCATTCACACTCCACAGAGAAGCTGATTAATGACAAATTTAAGCTTGTTTTATAAGTATATCCCAAGGTGCAGAGAAATTGAACTAGTCAGTGGGGGTGTTTTTCACAAGGTCTGGCCAGCCTGAAGTTGCTTCTGTTAGTGCTGAAATATTGAGGAGTAAGTCTGGAGTAAGTCTACCCCTGCTCCGTGACACTATAAAGATGCAAGTGTGTGTTGCAAGAGGGTCAAGTCAGTGAGGCTGGAATTGATTGTGTCTGGTAAACCTGAAAAGACAAAAATGTGAGAGATATAAACTAAGCTTTCACAAGAGGAGTTTGCAAACTCCAGTGGTATCAATCACCTTTTCTTTTAGACTGTTTAATTAATCCATTTAATTAAACTTGGGACAGTTGTTATCAAGCTCCGTGTGCTTATCAATCTAGTAAAAAACCACCAAACAGTAAAAGTTGGTCTAATCAAAGATACTACTCTGTCATATAAAACCTTGCCTTGCTTTAAGGTGTTCTGCAAGATTAGGGCAAGTAGAAAAGGAAGCTGGGGTAGAGCTTGTGAACAGGTTATAGAAGTTCATATCATGAGAACAGTGTCCCCCGTTCAGTGAAATTAAATGCCCAATTTAAAATGAATGACAGAAAGAGAAATAATTGTCATAAGCTACTCTTAAAATAGCAATTTGAAAGAAGAACAATGTGCTTTGGTGACTGTTGTGAACCTTTGCAATTGCCCTGACCGGAAGTCAAAGGGACCACGTGTACACTGTGGTGCTTCAGGATGCACGCTGTTGGTAAACGTGTTGCTGTTTGCTTACGTAGTTACTGTTGTTGGTGTGCTTGGGGCATGGTATCTCATGCTTTATTGCTTTCACATGTGTTACTGATGACTAAAATTCTACTATGGGAAGTACTTTGTTTCTGTGACTTTCTTGCAGGTTAGAGTTTGAGTATTTGTTCTATGCTACCCCTCAGACAAGAGCTATGACTTAAAGGATTTAGTTTCTCTTCTTTTGCAAACAGGGTGGGCTACTTAGCAGGACGTCTGGTTCGTGCACTGAAGAAGAAACAGCCAGAACTGGATATAACCCAGCGAGACATCCTCTGTGTAGAAATTGCTGGCCTTTGTCATGATTTGGGTAAGTTACATCTGAGATGGCTTGTTGCTTTTTGAAAGCCAACCTGGCTTTGAGATCAGAATGAGAGTGCTGTTTTGGGCTGCTCAGTGCATGGCCATATTCCAAGACAGTATTTATCTGTTCCTGGAGCATCTCTTATGGACATAGGCTGAGAGAGCTGGGGTTGTTCAGCATGGAGAAGAGAAGGCTCTGGGGAGACCTTAGAGCAGCTTCCAGTGCATAAAGCAGGCTGACAAGAAATCTGGAAAGGGACTTTGGACAAGGGCTTGTAGGGACAGGACAAGGGGGAATGGCTTTAACCTGGCAGGGGGGAGATTTGCATTAGATACAAGGAAGAAATTCTTCCCTGTGAGGGTGCTGAGGCGCTGGCACAGGGTGCCCAGAGAAGCTGTGGCTGCCCCATCCCTGGCAGTGTTCAAGGCTTGAAGCAACCTGCTCTAGTGGAAGGTGTCCCTGCCCGTGGCAGTGGGGTTGGAACTAGATGAGCTTTAACCAGTCTGTGATTCTGTATGTCCAGATCAAGTCAAATACAAGAGAATCCAGCTCCTTACCTTGCTAAAAATATTCTTACTGACAACCATGCCTCAGATTAAACCTGTGTAATCTTTATTTTTAAGGTCATGGGCCATTTTCACACATGTTTGATGGAAGATTTATTCCACTCACTCATCCAGATTGGAAGTGGAAGGTGGGCTTCTCACTATTAAAGTAAAAATAGAAAACTGATTATTTTTTTTTTTTACAGGGAAAATAATTAATCTTTAAAAACTGCCAGTGCTTGTGAGAATATAGTTATCATCTAGGCTTTTCTTACTGCATTGTATTGATGACATAATTAAAACCCAGAATGTTGTCTTCTAATCTTGTGGTGATTCCCTTGTTCTCTGTCTCTCTGGGGAACATTAGCCCCCTTCAGCATGGCCATGAGCAGATGCAGCCTTATTAGCAACACAGAAGGAGGTGTGGGGAGAAGTGAGGGCAGGTGTTTGTCACCAGCATCCCTTCCCTGAAAGTACACATGCTCTTGAACTCCTGTGTGCTTTCATGAGATCTCCTTGTGTACACATGTCCTTGTCCTGCAGATGTCACATTGGGTGACACAGAGGAGAAATGAAACCTTGCTCTTGTCAGTGCCTATAGTATGACTCTGAAGAGGCAGCAGCGTTCCTTAGGGCTGCACTGATCATTTTAAGCCAGCATTGTGCCTTAAAATGCATGTTGTGAGCTTTACCCTGAATATATTTTACAAATGCAAAATACCAACTGGGAGCTTCCTTTCCAGTTTTTAGTTCAAGGATATTTAATACAGTGTTTAGAGTTCAAACTTTCAGGAACTTTGAAGGGTTTCATGGGTTCTTTGCTGTGAGGAATGTAACACAGGCCTTTCAGGCCTGCCCCTGCTTGCAATTACTAAACAGAATCAGCTGAGTAAAGTTGTTAATCTTCTGCACAGCAGACTTGGTTATTTTGTCTTTCAGCATTGTAACTGTCTTACTGCTGTTTGTTAGAATACAAAAGTAACAGCTCTCTGCTGAACAGTGTGTTTGTGGACTCTCTAAGCTGGGTATTTCCTGTTTGGTTTGATAGAAAATGAACAGAAAATCACCCAAGTGCTGCACTTGGACCACACCATGCCCGGGTGCCCTGCCAGGCACTGCTGCTGGCTTAGGAGGAAGCTGTGGCAGTGCAGGAAAGATGCTTAAGCTTTGTGATGCAACATTTAGGTGTTGGTTTGGGTTTTTTCACAGCATGAAACTGCTTCTGTTAAAATGTTTGAGCACCTGATCACTTCCAATAAACTAGAAGAAGTCATGGAGTCATATGGGCTTGTCCTGGAAGAAGATGTGGACTTCATCAAGGAACAAATAGAAGGACCTACAGATGAAGCCGCATGTGAGATATCGGTGAGTCAACGTATTGGTACAGTGGTTATCCCAATAAATGTCTTGAATTTTACTGAAAGAGTAGATAATTTTTGCTTCTATATTTATGATTTATTTTTAGTCCTGTGAGCATCCTGGCACAAGAAATGCTTTAGAAGTGTAATGATTATTTCTTATCAGGCTGGCAGGAGATGGGAGCCTCACTATGTTACTTGCCTCTGTCTTCCTGAGAAGCTCTTACCTCCAAATCTTCAGATTAGAGGACAGCTTAAGAATATTACTTGTATTTAGTGAACCTAATTCATTGTGACTAGATTGGTAGAACTCCGTTTTTAACAGAAACCTTAAATGGTCAGATCAGGATAACAGCCTGTTTACTGGAGCCTGAAGGTGGTGATGGGAGAACGTGTTTTCAGGTGGCCGTGTGAAGAAAACATGGAGGTAGTTTAGGGGGACGAGCTGATAATAGATAATAAAACTGAGAGCTGGCAGAGATGAGGCAATGAGCAATCCAAAGCATGGCCCAAGTGCCAGAGCTACATCAGCTTTGATGACAGTAGCAAAATGCTTGGATTTATTGCAGTAACAAACTCAGAGTCAAGGTTCAGACTTGACAAATGTGTTGCCTCAAGAGGCAAGGAAGAAGAGATCGTGATTATTAATTCATTCATAAAGTTGCAAGGATTAAGTCCTCTCTCCTCACTTTACAGCTCTTGTCATCTCTCCAGAGACACCCATTCAGTTGCTACCAGAATTAAGAACCCGTCAGTGGGAGATCTGTCATGACAATCTGGTCCTAATCAGAATTTGTGTGTTGTTGCAGATGAATAACCCACAAATGTTAGCACTTACCCATCATTTTCTGCTGCAGTAGGGTGCAGTTCTACCATGTGTACTCCAGCAATCTGATGACAAACACAGGGAACTTGGCATAATAAAATTCATTCTGAGATCTTACAGGAAGAGGATACTCATTTACAAAGACTGCAAGTTGATGTTTACCCACTCCTGCTCATTTGCACACAAATCTTGCTGCCTGCTACTTCCATTGTTCTTGTGCCTGGTTCTTACCCCATGTCTGCTTTTCCTTGGTTGGGTCCTATGCCTGTTTTCCAGGAGGATAAAAGGAAAAGGAGTGTCAGACAAGATACATGGCAACCTTCTTGCCACCCTCCTGGTGCTGAGCTGCAGGATCTTCCATTGGCAGTTGTTTCTATGTGTTGAACATAAGTGGTGTCCTGACATTGTCCCAAGTAGCAGAGCTCTTTGTGATCGGTACAGGATGGCTTTATCTATGATGTGCTTTCTTCCCACAGCTTACACGTTTCCATTCTTATTCATTTCAACTTGAATACTTCTGTAATACAGATAAAGGAAAGCCATTTATCTGGTTGTATACCAGAGAATCATGACATTTTCAAGGAAGTAATGTTTCTGTGCAACTTATATCTTGTTATTTTGGCATTGATTTCCTTTTTGCCTCATGGCTGAGTCATTCCTGATGGGTTGGGAGTTTAAGTAGCTGAGTGTTTAAACAATTTTTGTTTAAAACATCTCAATAGTTGTTTTAAAACTGTTCTATAAGGTTAAATAGTTGATTGCAGAAGACTGCAAGACAGTGACATGTTTGTGGGTTTACCTAGCTCCCCAGGGATTAAATGATTCCAACCTTTTCCACTCTTTGTTGCTTTAGAGGAGTGTGGAAATAAAGTACTTGTCTACATGGTTTTTATTCTTCCTGATATTCTGGCAAGTCAGATGCTTAAGGCCTAATTGTGGATTTCTAATGCCAGACAGCTTCTGAAAGCACTTTTCATAGAATCATAGAATAGTTTGGGTTGGAAAGGACTTTAAGATAATCCATTTCCAACCCCCTGCCATGGGCAGGGACACCACACACTAAACCATGTCACCCAAGGCTCTGTCCAACCTGGCCTTGAACACTGCCAGGGATGGAGCATTCACAACTTCCTTGGGCGACCCATTCCAGTGCCTCAGCACCCTCACGGTAAAGAACTTCTTCCTTATATCTAACCTGAACTTCCCCTGTTTCAGTTGGAACCCATTGTTTAAATTTGAACTTTGATTGTCTTTGTGTTCTTTGCTACCTCAGTGTTGGATGTTTATCACAAGCAAAATCAAAATGTGTTCCCATGGTCTTTAAAAATTAGTTCTGACATTGTTTGCACACTTTTAATTTCTGATTGTTTCTGATTTTTCTCTTTCCTTCTTGGCTCCTCTGTTAGTGGCCCTACCGTGGTCGGCCAAAGGAGAAAAGTTTCCTGTATGAGATAGTGGCTAACAGGAAAAGTGGCATTGACGTTGACAAGTGGGATTATTTTGCCAGGTACAAATCCTTCAGTTTTTGTTATGAATTCCTACTGAAATCATGCTCCTGTATGTACAAGTGTAATCTCATTGTTAAACACTCTCTGTGGGATATTTTTAGGGATTGCCATCACCTAGGAGTCCAGAATAATTTTGATTATAAGCGATTACTTAAATTCTTTCGGGTCTGTGAAGTAAAAAATCAGAGGCACATCTGTATCCGTGACAAGGTAAGTGTGAACTGAGGGGATGCTCAGCAGCAAAATGTGTGTGAGGTAGAGCAGGACACTGAGAGCATGTGGGGCTTGGCAGAGCCTGGCTGGGCAGCGTGCTATGGCTGAGCTCTGCATTGCAGGGGGTGCTGGGGTTGTCTGCTGGATGCTTTTATAGCCCAAGAGAGGAAGATACAGTTGCTGCTCTGAAAACTGTTCTCAGAAGCAACTGGTTTAAGGAAGGGAGGGACAGAGCAAGCCTCTGTTTGAAAGGGTTTGTGGTGTGTACTTCCAGGGGAGACTTTGGAAAAGCATCAGCTGGGCATGATCCTGCTCCAGGTCTTCTGAGCTAGTGGGGAATGTGGCTTTGGGGCTGCGAGAGTGGGAGGCCCCTTCTCTGCCTGGGCTGCCTGGCTCACTGTCAGGTTTCTGCTCTCCCACAGCAGTCTGAGTCTGCTTCAGAATGTGTAAATTGTCAAGATAACCCTTCTGCTCTATGCTGTAAATGGAAGGAGACAACTCATTTGGTTCCTTGATTGTTGTAGTTTTCCAATTAAGAAGATGTCAAAAGTAAAAGATGGTTGGTGGTTTTTTTTTGATTCAGGAAGTTGGAAATTTGTATGATATGTTCCACACACGGAACTGCCTGCACCGACGAGCGTACCAGCATAAGGTTGGCAACATCATTGAAATAATGCAAGTATTATAGTTCCCTTTTCTTGCATTCCATTTATCTTTAGATTCTTGTAACTGTGTATCTGCTTGGAATATTCAGATAATCAATAAGGTGTGACATAGAAAAAAAGCCACTTGGCTGTATAACTAGGGTGTGCTTATGCTGTTATCACTGCAGACAGCTGAAGGTCAAACCTTTAGCTTCAAGTTAGAGACTGCTTAGCTCAAACTGGCTGGTTACTAACAGAGTAAAGTAAGGAGCAAGCTTAACACAGCTGAGCTGAGGCTTGGCTTTGTGTTTATGTAGTGCCACAGCAGTATATAGTGCCACATCAGGAATTGTTCTGGCTATTTGTACCTCTCTTACTGATGTCTACAGAAGTTTTTTACTCTTCTTGAGAGCAGAAAACTAGCATCCCCAAAGACATTTTCATTAGGATCTTGGCTGCCCAGTTACCATCTGCCGAGTTTGGAAAAAAAGAACACAGAGGATTACACAGTACGAGAGTGATTCATGACTGCTTTCATTTCATAAACTTCAGCTCCTGGTTTAGTGATCCCCTAAAAGACTAAAAATGTCAAGGTTTGACAGTACAATGTGTCAGGAGTAAAACAGCCAAGAATTGTCGTTCTTGGCTTACCATAGTTACAGCAGCCTATCCAAATAAGCATAGGAGCTGGAAATGACAATGGAGTACAGGGAACTCTGGAAGAACTTGATCTTTAGAACAGTGGTTTTTCCCACGTGAAAAATGCCACATGTTCCTGGTGCTTTTAACTCCTGGAGGCTGTGAAAGGATATGGTCACCTGTGAGGCAGCCTCATTGCAGCTGGGGACCATGTCACTGTCTCGCAAGGTTCTGTAATCATCTAAGCAATGGTAAAACACATAGTCTGAAGGAGAACAAAGTGCTTATTCATTGACAGAAGGTTAAGGTCTGATCTGAACCTGTTCTCAGTAACTGGAAATACTCTGTTGAAACATGCAATGACAGCGTGGAGACAGGGCACACTGCAGTGCATCAGGGACTGCTGCGTGCTTGGGATGCAGTTTCATCTCTCTTCTATTTTTAACATACTAATGTCTGTCTTTATTGACTTGAGCAATAAGGTGTTTCAGAATGGTGCTATCCTTAGGTCTTAATTTTGTCTTAAACTAGGATTACAGAAGCCCTTCAAAAAGCAGACAAGTTCTTTAAAATAGAAGGCTCTGGAGGAAAACAGTACCAGATTTCTACAGCAGTGGAGGACATGGAGGCCTACACTAAGCTAACTGGTATGAGCTCTCAGAATTCTCTTCTGTTTAAGTAAAAGAACATGAGTACCCATTAAAATGCTGGTTTGACAACTGTTGGCACAGTGGGATATTGCCCACAACTAGGACTCTAAAGTACTGCTTTTGTGGTGGGACAGATTTGGACCATCCAGTCTCTGAGCATTCATATCTTTCTGGGAGAGCAAGACCTTCTAGTTTAAATTACTTTTATGTTGAGAGAGAGAAGCACCAGCTTCCTATGTTCTGCACACATTCAGAGTATTGCAAGCAGTGCTGTCAGGAGGGTCCTGCTTGTGTCCTGAGTACTTGTCACACAGGGGATGTAAGTCAGTGATAACTACATGTAGCTACATCAGGTAAAGTACTGTATGTGTGTTGTAGTCTGCAACTAACCCCAAGGCAGGTTTCAGAGAGCTCTTATAGGGTCCAATTTGACTTGCTTGAGATGTGGCTAGCCTGCTTGCAGATTTAACAGGAGAAAACAATATATGAACATAGTTTATTGCTGAAAGTTTCTGGTTGCTCGAATGAGAGCTTGTGAGAATGGTTCTTGTAGGGTAAGTACATGGAGCTGTGGAAAAACTCCAGTGTGATTACAGAGAGAAGCAAACAAGACCTGAGGCTTGTGATGTTTTCCTGTTTCTCAAGGTCTGGCTTAGTGCTGTGAAGAGGAAACACAGAGAATTTAGTAATTCACAGAAGCTGGCTTGAGTTATGTTGTGTACTCTGACAATCTCTCATTCCTCATGGAGAAGTTCCTGGCTTTGATCAGCCTTGTCCATAAAACCAACCGTCAGTTAAAGGTGTTGGGTACATGGTTTATAACTTGCTTCTGGAGTGCGTTGGTTGCTTCTTACGCCAGTTGTGGTCCTAGGCAGGATGTTGCAGCACGTGTCAAAGCTGTCTAGGGTATTTTTGTCTGGGGAATGTGAATGTACACACGTGCAGCTGTGTTGGTTGTGAGAGGCAAGCAGCATCCTGACAGCAGCAATCTCTTAGGACAGCCAAAAATAACTTCTCTGTTCTGAAGCCACATCAAAAGAAACCTGTGTCTTGCTGCTCTTATTGATGGTGGGAAACACACTGAGTACTTCACTGTCATGTGGAGACAAGAGGGGGGACTTTGATGCTAGCATCTAAAGTCTGAGAAATCCAGAAGGTTTAATGGAAGTACTTTATTCTTTTACGAGATAGAGCACTCTGTCCCTGAGCCAGTAAGTGCTGGGGCTCAGGATATTCTGCCAAACAAGACTGGCTGAATAAACAGGAAGCAGCTTCCATGGTAAAACTTGTTGCAGGGGTGAGAATTGAGCTGTTTTTTCTGGTGATACTGTGACGTCTCAGTTGTCAGGCTCCGGGGGTTCAGTCATCCTCTGAGAGCGAGTGTCGCTCCTGAACCAGCAGTTTTTCTTGTTGCTTTAACCTTTGTCCCTGTACGTACGTTTTGCTGTGGCCTTGGCTTGTGACATACTTAACAACAATCAATGCAACTTTGGCAGATAATGTCTACCTGGAAATTCTGCACTCAAGCTCTCCAGAGCTGAAGGAGGCACGAGAAATTCTGCGTAAAATAGAACGACGTGAGTTATACAAGTTTTTAGGAGAGACTCAGCCTCAAACAAGGAGTGAACGTATACAGGTAATGTCCATTGCTGGAAGGTCCTGGATTCTGTCCCTGTAAAAATGTTCTCTAAGTCACTGACCATCTTTATTTCTCTTATCTCTGTGTGGGTTTGGTTTGGGGTTTTCTTTCTGCTTAACTGCTATTCCAAAAGCTGCCAGCTTTCTTGTGATGGCTATAATATATATGATAATGAGCTATGTGTTATCACATCATCAGGTAATTGTCTCTAAACTTCAGGTGTGATGCTTAAAATTTTCCATGCCAAGTTTCCAGAAGTGCCTGACTGTATCTAGAAAGCCTTAACAAAACTAAGTCAGCTTTTTTAAGGAATAAGGTTAGAGAATGACCACCAGGTGTCTTACTGCTCTGCTCTTCTTTTTGTTTGAAGAGGTTGGCTTGTGTTCTTTCAGCTAAGCAAAAGTAGCGTTAAGAGATTCTGTATTAAAAAAGTAGGAGGAAATAAGAGGAGGGGAAACAAGAAATGGTGGAACACTGATTGTCACGTTTCTGCCCTTCTGAGGAGGAGTTCAGGATAGGAAGCCTGTTCAGGATAGTTGCCTGTTGCAGTAGTGTTGGAGGCTCAACTTCCTCCAAAGTGCTGGAGGTGAGCAGTGGCTAGATAGGACATAGCGTCTGTTCTGCTCCTTAAGAGACCTTAATGCCATTGTGTTTGGAATCGTAGAACAGTTTGGGTTGCAATGGACCCTTAAAGGCCATCTAATGCAACCCCCTGCAGTGAACAGGGACATCTTCCACTAGATGAGGTTGCTCACAGCCTTGTCTGGTTTTGTGATCCTCCAGCTGGCCAGAGCCAGGGGAACATCCCAGATACAGAACTCTTAAGCTCAAAGCTACGTTTCCAGTTAATGCAAACTGGAAGAGGTAACTTTAAAAAAAGGACAAACAAACAGCAGCAAAGAAAAGGAGAAAGTTCGCATGATACATTCTGTTTCGGAACAGAAATAGAGCAGCTGATAAATGAGCTGCCTCCTGCCAGTTGCCTCCTGGCACCTTTCTTCTAGGTTTGCCCTCAGTCTAAACCTTTTCTTGGCTTCTTGAGTCCCAGCAAACCACACACAGCTTGGCAATGTGTGTGATTCCCTGCTCTTTGTAGCAGTCTCCCTTTCTTTACAATGGACATCAAAAAATTCCTTCCCTTCTGGACCTGTCTCCTGGATGCTCTGTGCTGCGCTTGAAGCTTCGGTCCCATGAGTCTCAGTCGTTCCCAGGAAATCTTGCTTCATCAAATCTTGCATCTTCCCCAGAACGTGGCAGCCCTGGACAAGTGTAATCAGGCAGCCTGCTCTCTCCTGCCCAGCCACAGCCTTTGAATGAGAACTTCCATGTTTCCATGAACTCCCCATCACACCCTGCTCCTCTGCCTGGCTTTAGCCAAGCTACCAGCAGGGAATACTCTCTCAGGTTCAAAACCAGACAAAACCTCCTTGTGGGTTTCAGCTTTGAAGTTACCATCCCCTCCAAAGTTTGCCTGGGAGCTTGCTGCTTTGGTTTTGTTTTGGGGTTTTTCATAGTGATCAGTGACATTACTGATCTTGACAGTCTCTTGGGTTTTTTTTACATGTTCAGTGTACAGGAATTAAAGCTTTATTAGAGGGTGAGATTCTGCAGCCCTTCATTAAAAAAAGAAGAGAATCAGTAAAAATGTTTAGTATTCAGCTCTGGGAACTTAATTGCAGAACATTGGTGTTGATAAAACAATTGTTTGAAGGTAATTATTTTAGTTTTTCATGGAGACTTCAGCATCCTGGATGGACACTCTCTCCCTTTCATCCTGTCATCAGGTGTAAAACTCTTCCTCCACAGGCTGGCACCATTTGGATCTTCTCAATTATCTAAGCTTGGTTTGTTTCTACACATAGGTAGAAAATTTATGGCTAAGGTATTAAAGGGTTCAAGCAACCAGATTGCTGCAAGAAGAGTCTGTCAAGCTGGGAAGAAATGAAAGCTTCAGTTTAGTGACACATTCTGTCATGCATTTTGTTGCCTTGGTCTAGACCTGATAGTGCATAAATGTAACCTGCATTGCTGTCTTTCTTTTTCAGAGTAATAGCCTGGCAGAAAGCATTGCTAAATCCAAGCCAGACAAGGATCCTCCAGATGTGGAACTAAAGGCTGAAGATTTTGTAGTTGATGTAAGTATCTCTCGGAGTGGGTTCAGGGTCAAAACTTCTCAATGGCAGGGGCCTTGTACACCATAGTGAAAACTGGAGTTCTGTTTCAATGCATTATTATTGTTGTATTTCATTAGTGTCATTTACAGAAGTACATTGTGCATCCTTTTGTATGTATTGTGGGAAAACTAAAGACAAACAATTAACAAGTGCCATTTTCTCTGTTTTACGTGCAAGGTTATCAATATGGATTATGGAATGAAAGAACAGAATCCCATTGATAATGTTCTCTTCTACTGCAAGGCTGATCCTTCCAAGGCAGTCAAGATCAGCAAAGAGCAGGTAATCTTTTAATTTGTTTCAACTGGCTTCTAAAGGGCATCTTTGCAGCTTGTAATGGAAGCAATTAAAGTCCTTCGTGGCAGTTCTTGCAGGGTTGTGGGGAGCTTGTGGAATCCATGGCCTTCAGGTCTTTGGTGTGTGTTCTGCTAAGATAATGTGGAATTCTGACAGCCTTTGCATATGAACAGTATTTAACTTGGATACACTGGGAATCTTGGAGAAATAGAATTGATTTGGATAAAGCTCACGGATTGTAGTGGGATGTCTTTTACCGCTTTCTGTTGTCTCTAAATTCCAAGAAATGCTTAAGCTTATTTCTTTCTATATTCCAAAGGTTTCAAAGCTGTTACCCAGGACCTTTGCTGAGCAGGTTATCCGGGTTTATTGCAGAAGTCAGGATCCAGATACTGTTTCAGCTGCAAAACAGTATTTCATTCAGTGGTGCATAAAGAAGAATTTCACCATACCACCGGTAACAAATTCACTTGTATTTTTATCGTTCTTAAAGCTCTTCACGTTTGTCCATAAGCTTCTTCTTGTCTTCACTTGGCCTTTGTGGCAGAGCCACTCCTCAGTAACCTAGCTTCTGGTTTTATTGTGACTCATGTCAGGACGTTCTTTGGTTTCACTGAATTAGTGATAGATTTACACTGATTTAACTCACTGCTCCTCCAGCAGAATCATGGTCAGTCGATTGGCTCTGAGTGGAAAATGCCTGCAGGAACAAGACTGCAAACCTCTGCTCTCTGGGCAGCTCGTCTGTAGCCTGAGTTGCCTGCAAGGCCTCATCTGTTCTCTGCATTTCCCTTTTCTGTCAACTCTCAACATACAAGTTTCCAGCTGTGGGGGAGGAAGAGGGTCTGTTACAGCTCATCTGATGTTCCATTTTGTGTTGGGAACAGCCTCAGAGCTGCCCTGGCAAGTGAAATGGAGACTCTAAAGCACACCAGGAGAAGCCTGTACCAATCACGACTGTAAAATGATGATGTGTGAAACAGCATCTCCACCTCCCCATCACATCCCCCTTGCAGGAGAGTGGGCACCTTCATCTAAAAACAGTTACCATTTACTGATAGGTCCAGTGTATCCATCGCTGTAGGGAAGCAGTTACATCAAGTAAGCTTTTCTCAGTAGAAAATGCTACTGGAGCCACTCCGCTACATGTGAGTTGCCTTGTGTCATACTTCTGGCACCCATCTTTTGAGAGCAGTTACATTCAGAAGGGTTTTTTGCAAATGCATCAAGCAACAAGCGTTCTCTGCTTGTGGCTTGTAGAGTACAGCTGTATCCTGTAAGCACGTTCTTCTAGTTCAGGCATATCCATCGTGAAGGCCCTGGCACATTGCAGAACTTCCCAACACGCATCTCACCAGCTTATTTCTAAGTTTAGAGAGTGTATCACTCCCTTGCCTGTGTTTGCCTGAGCACTTTATATATATAAACATATATATCTGACAAGGATGAGCAGCACTGCCTTAGACCATACTGATTACTGTACCAGTGTTATGTTCAAGACAGTGCAAGGCACATCGAAGCACCTGGGGCTGGTGCATTGCAGCACTTTTAAATGAGGAACTGTGGCAAATTCAGGGGAAAGATTTATAATCATGTCTCTGATTCATGTACCAATGCCCAAAATGCCAGCCTGCCAACGCTCCTAGATTTGTGGTAATAATGTAGGAAGAAGAGATCTGCTGGTGGTGAAGGCTTCTCTCATAGGGTTTGGTTTTTTTCTCCCCACCAAATGTGTTACTCCCCACCACTGAGTACAGCATCTTTGGGATGCAGTCTTCCACGTCAATTGATTTACAATGCTTCTAGGACCATGGATTATATTTATTTGTTTATTAGTAAGTCTGATACTGAGCTTCCTTTCCCCTGCTTTAGGATAGAAAGCAAAAGTGGATGTACTATCATTAATGTTTTCTGACTTTCAATAACAGGATAGTGATGTGGTTGCCCCTCATCTAATTCCAATGAAGGAAAACTGGAATAACGCAAGGGATGATGGACACTGGACAACTCCAGAACCCAGCTGTGAACAGAGGCTTCCTTTAGATAAGTAACCCTTGTCCTTTTAGCACTATTCAGTCTGCTGCTTCGGAAGATGAGTAAACCTGATCAGCAACTCCTTTGAAGGCCGGTTGGATGGACTGTAAGAATTGAACAATGCAGAAATGCATTTTACAATACAGTGTGTTTTAATGTGGGTATTTAAAGTGCATGTTCCAAATGAACTTTTAAAGAAACCAACAACCTATTACAGCAGACTCAACTCTCAGTTATTTTTGAATGTACTGGCACTGGTTAGCAAGAGTAACTTGAAAAATTGCAATTCATTGTTATTACAAGAGGTGCTGACGACACGTCGCTGTTCCTGCTAGTCCCCATCCCTCCTTAAGGTGATGGTGATACTGCATGAACAGACAGAAAAACTCCCAGGTCAGGGGGTTTTGGGGGGTTGTTTTGTTTCTTTTCTGCAATACCTGAAGAAGAGAGGAGTAAATATGGTCTGAAAACACAGTGATGTGATAGAACGTTGACATAACCATAAATGGCATCTTCAAGAATAGTAAAACTGATTTCTTTAAAAAACCAACCATAAAAGGAGGGGAGAAGACAATCTTTTTACTAACCAAAGATTACTTTTCTGGAATTCCAAAAGCTGATGAAGATAGAGGCCTCTTGCTCTAAGTGTGACACAATTCCTTCTGAAGTAACAATGCATTGCAGTGACATGCAGCCTTTTATTGTTTTATAGGGTATTTTTGATACATCGAATGTTATATTTTTACTCACTGAACTGCAGAAGCTGCTCAAAACATCCATTGTTTGAGTGCCTGCGGGAGAGCAGAGCTACCTGAATGTCAAGGCAGACGGCCACAGCCAGTGCATCCCAGCAGGATGCTGCACAGGTGCCGCTTGTCCTTGCTCCAAGTGCACCTTGTTTCTGCATTACACTGTACTCAGCAGGCTCTTCAGGTATTCCTCCATTCTTGGGTCCCTTCCCTTTGTCTCCTGGATCTCTGATTGCTGTTCCTGTGTCCTTTCTCTCTCCCTTGTAGAACTATAAGGATACTTCCATTTTTACCTTGCTGGTAGTACTAATGTGAGTATTGCCAAGTGTCCGTCCAGTTGGAAAAGTGAACAAGGAAGACCTTTTTCCTCTCATCTTTTACTCAGGTCTAAGCAGAAGGCTGCTTTCAGTAAAGAAAAAGCGAAAAGCCTGAAAAAGCCCACCCCCAGAACTAAAATTGCAAATCAAAAGGTTCAGCAATGCTCAGAAATTGGAACAAACTTTGGATCTTTATAGCTGATGTGGGGAAGGCAGCATTCAGCACTCTGTTCTGAAAGCCAGGCATGGGGAGCCAGGTTAGTTTCTGACAACTAACACAAAGGGAAGTCCCTGTGAGAGAACCTCGGAACTCTCTTCATATCATTATGTTTCCTTGGCCCTTTTTATCACAGGAACCAGTAGGTGTTGGGCAGAGGGAAGGAGGAGGAGTGTTCACATGCTTAACTCAGCTTTCTTTAGTTGAAATAACCAGGAGTTGGTATGTGCTCTACTGCTTCCTTCTGTACCTGAGCTCATGTCTAAAGGTGGTATGGTGCAACCTCTGCTGTTCATCCTCAACAGTACTTCACATCTGCAGGTGTACCAGGTAGCTACTGGAATGCGATAGGACCTCTTTAAAGAACTTATTATGCTTCAAGAACAAACATCATAAAGGCATGTGTCTCCCTTATCTGCATAAAATCAAGTATTGTTCAGCACAATGTAATTCTGTTATTGTTGCTTGGGTTTGTTTTGAATCTGTTATAAAAGGTGCACTTTATACTTGGCAAATATCTTTTGCTTACGTTTAAGCAGAAATTCATACTTAATGTTAAGTTCAGCATTTTTTTTCTCTTAACATGTTAATCTGAGCCTCTGTGGACTAAGATTAGATTTATAAACAATGATTTTATTATTCTTTTAAGGAATTGCAGTTTGTGGACTTTGTGGGGTATGACTTTAATAGTTACAAACAGCCACATGTATTTCTAAAGGACAAATGCTGCTTTGTGGCAGTACAGATCCTGAGGGGGTTTCTGAATCCATGCGAATGGTACCTGCAGTGGAGCCAGTGCAGCTGTGCAGGGCTCTTCCTGGGCCTGGGCAGAGCGGGCTGGCCTCTGCCTTCACCATCCTCCAGTGCCCAGGTTGGCTTTAGGCACTGCTCCAATTGGAGAGGGAAAGCTGAAGTCCTGCTTGACCAACCTGATTACCTGGGATCACAGCGGAGAGGCCAGCATGGGTTTAGAGCCAGTATCTGGAGTCAGACTGGGATGCAGGTACCCAGCCTGTGGTGGCAGCTCCTGGAGCAGGTGGGATGCTCCTGGGGGATCGAGTGGCTGCGTCACCCCTAAACTGGGTGTCTGTACAGAGCAAACTTTAAGCTGGACCTGCTGGTGTATATGCTGCTGTGATGGGGTGAGAGAGCTGGGATGTGGGCAGGGGGCTGGGCAGATTGAGGCAGTGTGTCCCTGAGGGGCTCCAGCAGCTGGGGAGGAGCATCTTGGGCTGGAGCAGCTGGAGGAGGCAGCAGCTCCTGACACCCTTCAGCCCCAGGACCAATTGTTTCCCCTCCCTACCCCTGTGTTTGCTTCCAAATCCCCTCATGACCCCTCCATGCGCCTCTCACTGTCTCCTAGAGCCCCATCTCCCCCCCCAAAACACAGAGCACAGGAGGTGTCTAAAATCGCAGTTTATTATGCTCCTCTTGTGCAGCCAGAGGGGCTGAGCGCGGGGGCTGAGCTGGCCTCGGATTAACACCCCCAAAGCGCCAATAGCAGTGCAGTAAGGCAAAAGTTTTAACTGTCCAGAAAGAAAGGAGATGTGTTTACACAAGGGCCTGGGCATGTCCCATCTCAGGTGGTTTGATGTCACGTTCCCAGCCCATAGGTCAATCGGAAGCTGCCTACCTGCTGCCCCAACCCCAGTGAGAGGCTTTCACCCTGTGGTTACTGCTGCTCAGTGCCACCACGCAAGGAGCAGAGCAAGAAGGTGCCTGAGGTTCACATTCATGGGGTCAGCAGTAGCAGCAACCCCAAAATGAGCAGGTCTGAGTGCACATAGATGGGAGCCACGGGGGAACCAAGGGGTACTTCAGTGGAGTCCTCCACACACAGCCAGCAGCTGCCATCACTCTACTTGCAAGAGGGTGAACATAGGGAAGTGCGTGTCCCGTCGTGTTAAGTGGCTGTGGAAAACCTGGAGTGCAACTACTCCACATAGGAGTGGGCGAGGCTCCTTCTGGATTTGGTCTGGGGTCCTAAGGGGAGATGCTGACACCTCCTGGTCCTTAGCTGGGGCAGGCAGTTTGCTCTCTCCACATCCAGGCTGCTGCCCCAGGCAATCACAAAGGTGCAGTGTGAGCCCTGCACTGCCGCCTTTGCTACCCTACAGAAACAAGAAGTAGCAGGAATCTATCTGCACAGTAGTGCCTTCTTCTGAGACCCTGTAATGCTCTTGGCTGCAGCTCCTGAGATGAAGGTGTCTGTTGTTTCAACAGGATACAGCAGTTACCTTCCCTCCCACCCTGCTTTTCACCCTGGTTCCAGTTCTTAGTAGGGTCTGAGCACCAAGATTATTACCTGTGGCAGCAGCTCCAGCCATCCTCCTTCCAACAGGTCAGTCATCCTCGGTCACCCATTCGTTTCACCCATTGCACCTGAGCACACATGATTCTTCCAGATCCCACAGCAGTAGAACCAACACATGGCTGCTGCAGCCAGAGCTTAGGAACCAGGTACCCAGAGATTGCCTTGTGCCAAGCAGGAGCGTTACTGGGCAAAGGAGTAAAGGGGAAATTTCCTGGAGAAGCAAACATCTCCAGCAGCAGTGACAGTGAAGTGAACAGTTCATGGTCTGAGCTCTTTCCAGGCTAGAGATGTAGCCCTGATTTTAGCTCAGGTGCTTGCTCCAGTTCCTGCTGGACTGCCCCGACGTGATGGCTGAGGTCGCAGTGAAAAGCACAGCTTAGGGAAGAAGGGAGATGCTCCAACGGAGGCACTGCAGCTCCTACTTGTAGCTCTTAGTCTCTGCACTGAGCCCATAGCTCAGGAGGGTATTCCCAGAAGAACCTCAGCCGGCATCATTCCCAAAGTCAGACCTCATTCAGAGAACCTTCCCCACCCACCCCACACATCCCAAGCTTTGCATGTTCCTTAGAGTGGTCCATGTCCCAGGAATGGTGGGCACTATCCTTACTTCAAAACAAGCATGGCTTCTGTCCCATCTGGCTTTGTCAAATGCAGTCCATGAGTGAGGTAGTATTCCCGTCGGAGGAAGGCATAGAAATAATCCGAGACAAGCAGGATCTGCAGAAGTAAGATGTTCAGACACATCAGTGATGCTCGAGAACAAGGAGTAAAAGGGAATGTGTTTGTGATGGACCCTAAAGGGGTTTAAGAAGTTCTTGGGCTGTTCAGCACACTTTGTGAGAGCAGACATTGAACCTGTGAACACTCCCTGTCCATTGCCTTGCAGTATTAAGCCAAGAGAGACTTAAACTAACTTAGTTGTTGCACTACCACCGTGTTCTCACAGGCGTCTCCACTTAGGAGACAGCAGCTTCATAAGCTGGCCAAAATCCAGGACATTGGCAGGTCCATGTGTGCCACAGCTTTACAGACCATCCCAGCCTCACCCCCAGGACTCCCTCCATGCAAGCACTGTCGTGCAGTTCAACCCAAGTGCTGCAAGTCTCCAGCTGCTGATTGCTATTAAGCACTTTGCAGGGGTGACTTGTTCAACTGCCATTTCTAGTCAGCAAGGGCAAGCAGCTCGCAGGCAGCAGAAGGACCACCACAGCCTCTCGGGTCAGCCTGAACAAGCAGAAGCTTCAGCAGTTTAACAAAGCAATACTTACCAGGCCAAGGGGTGAAGAGCTGAAATGTCAGGGCTGTGACTTCACAGTACAACATCCAGGAGCAACACCAGACAAAAGCACTTCTTACACCCCCATCACGTCAGCATCTCCTTTCTGCTGCCGTGCCCTCTGTGGCAGCCACCCCTGGGTTGGCTCCTTTCAAGTGGTGAACAGAGCTGGCTATTCCCTAGGTTTTCCCTTGCTCCAGGTCAGAAGCAGGGAGTCACACACAGATGTTGGCACCATCCCATGCTGGAGATGGGCGTACCTTAGGCTGGTATTGCCACTGGCTGTGTTGTAGTGCAAAATCACAACTGAAGTGCCAGACAACTGCAGTGAACATGGAAACGTGACACAGAAATCACCAGGTCTTTCCTCAGCCCCACTTTGGTCGTACTGAGGCACCACAGTGTGACTGCTCCATTGCCTAAAGCACTGAGAACACAAGTGTGGGGCTCAGTGGTTTCTCTGCAGGGCAGGCAGTGACCTGCTGGCTCAGCAGTGCCACTGGTCATTTCGTCTCTTGTAGCATGACCCTTCCCCAGGAAGGCTGATCTCCTCCACCTGGCAACACCACCACATAACCAGGGTGGAAAACCTTGTCAGTGCCAGACCAAGCTGGTAGCTACTGTCCTAATGCCCAGATGCCTCACTTGAAGTATGTGGCAGTGGCTAAAGGGATGGAGGGAGGGAGCACAAGGCTGTCAGCCAGAGCCTGCCTGGGTTCCCACTACATACAGCTGCTGTGGAGAAGGCTCAGTGGCAGGACAGGAGGATATGGAGAATGCAGACTGCTGGGGTCAGAGGAGAAAGTGCAAAGGGGAACAGAGAAGGGTAGAGGTGCCCAGGGAGAGTGAGAACAGCCTCGTTCTGCTGAGCTCCATGGCTGACCACTGACACGCTGTATCAACTGATTTTACTTTTAACTAAACCTCTCTGCAGATACCTTAATGGGAAAAGAAAGAACTGAGGTTAGTGAGTTCTTTCTCACAAGGAAATCAGAAAGCAGGTTTTTGCTCTGTCTGCATTTACACAGAGCACCAGCCCTTGCAGGTAGGAAATAAAATCCTCTTAGAATATCAACACCTGCCATCCCTAACTAAAGTTTAAGTTTTACTATTCCTTTCATTCCATAGCAAGACATGTAGTCAGAGAGCTACTGAACCATCCCCAATTTCCTGTAAGCCCTTTGTAGCAGGATTTCTATGCTCTCTCTCTCACCCCACTCACTGTATGGAGTCTCCTTTTGCTTTTACAAAAAGGGGGTTTGTCCCCATTTATTGAGTTTTGGGGGAGGTACAAGCAGGTGATTTTCAGCCCCTGGCAAAACTGCTCCTATAGTTTTAGGAGGAGCAGACAAACATAAATGGCTGAGGCACATCCAAGATAAAAGCAAATTTAACATGAAATGATCATTCTGCTCGCCCACACGTGAAACTGCCCCAGGGCTTAGGGACATAAGAAATAGCACAAAGAAGAGGAAGGGCTTAGAAAAGGTTGTAGCAACTGTGTATATTGAATTCCATCCTCCAGAGGTGCTGAGCTCTGTCTTCCCTAAGGCTAGTGAAAGTCAGGTATCTAGAATGGCCTTGAGAGAAGCAGGGAGAGTCCCTGGTGTGACTGGGACCCTGCATGTGCCAAAGCCTACATTGCAGTGTAACGCTCAGAAAAACAAGTGCCACATCCCCCTGTCTGGCAGTTCTCATTTGCCTGTTGTCTGGCCCCACTTCTGCTGCCTCGTGGTTTTATCCATTTCCCCTCATAGCTTACCTTCTCCATTCATGTGTGCTCTTAGTGCCATACCAAGATGCTTTTCCTCTGCTATCAACAACAGACCACACAACTTGCAGTACAGCCTGGCTGGATTGTTAAGCTATAGCTCGAATACTACAACAGTTCTCTCCCATTAGTGTGCCAGAAGGTGAGGACTAGGCAGATTTCAAAGCTGCAGTGCAAGACTACAGAGGATGCGAAGAGCCAGACACATCCTGCAGAATTCACTGTTGCTGACACACACTCGATGCAGTGACCCAAAGTGCAGCCTTGTTTGCCTCGCTCTACTGACCTGCCCTATGTTGAAAGTCAGCGTGATGGCATAATAAAAATTGGAGTTGGCACTTCCTGCATAAATCCATAGATGCCACAGAACAGGGAACAGGAGGGAGCAGACAATGAGCACACATGACAGGATGAAGATGTTCCGGAGGACTGCAAAAGAAAACCAAGCTGTTAAAATGCTGCATTACTGAGCAGCCATGCTCACACAACCAGCAATGGTATTTAGGGTATGTGCAGTGGGGCAGAGGCACTTGCCAGCACGCACTTCTCTCCAATACTCTCTCACAGTTTGCTTTAATAATGCCCTGGCTAGCTTGTATAAGAAATCCACTTACTACCCTTTGAAATAAATACTTCTGCCTTTGCTTGAGTGTGAAGTCCTCATTTGCGGCATTTGCCTTCTAGATCCTGCTTTCAAACACTCCTCCTCAGAAGACTTCAGCTTTTTAGTGCCTACACTACAGTAACTAACAGTTTTGAGGAGGGCCTTTCACCAGCATCACAATTCAGAGAGCAGAGCATGCCATTCCCTAGCCTCATCAAGGAAAAAACCTGAGCCTGTGGGCCACAGGAAAAGAGACTTTCTTGGGAGGTGGTGAGGAAATGAATGCACCATAAAAGGAGGAAACTCATCCAGGCCAAATGCACTGACAAACATGCAACCTCGGGAGGTGCGAGTGAGCGCAAAGAGAATCCACCAGTCTGCCTTGAGTATGTGTCAGGTGGAGGAAAACCAAGCACAACTTTGTCTAAAAAAGCTGGAACTACTGGGCCAGAATAGATTTTGGTTTCTGTGACCTCTTTATGCCTGTTCTTTGGCAGCAGGATTACACTTCATCCCAGCCCTTGTGTTGCTGTGCTTGGCTACAGCTCAGCCAATGGCCCTGAAGGTAACTGAAAGATTCCTGATCATTCTGCAGCTGAAGGAGCTAACACTTTACGACACTGGCACATCCAAACCTGTTCACATCTATGTGTTTAAACTTCTTGTTCAGTAGTGCTATTCACCCCCTGGGGGGTGGCAGCACGTGACACATGACTGTACCCTCACTGGTCACAGTCCCCTTTAGCCACAAGCTTGGGATGTGTGACTGAACTATGAGGAATCCAGAAGTACCTCACCTGCTCTGGCTGCAACATGCTCAGGGATAGCCTGGGGCTTCCTGCCCTGTTTTATTACAGCTGCTTTGGCCTTAGCTTTCTGTAGTGTGAATCTAACAGAGCAGATGGTCTCCAAGTCTCTTGACTCCTGATTATATCTCCTGGCCTGGTCTGGGTTAGAGACTGCAGTAACAGGCCTGGACAACCTGGCAGGGTTGGTCAAAGCAATTAATTAAGTAAGAAACACCCAGAAAAACACAGTGTTGCCAATTCTCCCCACTTCAGGGGGTTCTAGAGCGAGTTTAAAAATCATTAGGAACCTCTGGTGATTTACAGAGCTTAAGAGGTTCTTTATAAAGCATTTAATTAAAACTGGACAATTGCTCAGAGTAATTCAGTTCCTTTCACTCTAAGCAAACAAGCAGATGCAAACCAAAGTAGTACTGCAGGATGCAGGGTTTCACTGCTGGGGACTCACCAGTTGCAGGAGCCGTGTTCAAATTACACAGCCTTCAATGGCAGTGAAGCATCTGAACGATGGATGCACTTTAAATAAGCCACATCCCTTGTACAGGGCTCTTACAAAAAAGGTGATCTTCAGAACAACTTGGAAGGTAAAGGTACAAGTGAAAATTCCCTCCTCAACCAGTTTCAACCCTGGCCCTAAAGACATGTTAGAGACTGTAAGTCCAGAAGAAACCAGTCTCTTTCCAGACACCCCAAGGAAGCCACAGGAGCTCACAGACATGGGCCTGCTTTGGTTTAGTGGTGATGATTATTGGACAGGCCCTTTCTCATTCCAGCTAAGGAACAATCAAAGATAAAGAACTTACATCTGTAAAGGTGGTTCCATACAGGAAGGAAGGCCATGTACAATGCAACGTCTCCCACAGTGGGATAGGACTTGAAGATGGAAATGATTGCAATCTGGACAAACATGAAGAACACGGGGTGCTCCCTAGAAGGAAAAAGACACAAAAGGTAAGAGGATGAAGTAAGAGTCTGGAAATGGGAAATAAGTATCATAAAGGGCACAAATGTACTGTGGGTAGGCTTGAAGAGGCTCTTGTCCCTAGTTCTCTCTAAACAAGCCGGAGTGCTGGGTGGGGTAGACTGAGCAGCTCTGCAGAGAAGCAGGATAAGGATTTCAGAGGAACAGAGATTGAAACTTTGGGAAACGACGATAGGCCCTGTTAAAAATCTTTTTCAGGCTTGTAGATCCAGACATCTGAAACCAGAATCACAAGACAACTGAGAGTAAAACAAAACTAGCAGAGAAACGTACTTACTTTAGCTTTATTGCCAAGGGAATGGTGTAGAAGAACACATTGATTTGAAACACGCATACGAAGAAAAGACTAAAGTGTTCAAACATCTCTGCAAAGAAGTACCAGAAAAGGCCAATATTGGGTGTCAGATCTGGAACAGAAAGGCTGAAATTTGAAAAGAAAAGTCAAGGTAACATTTTTAAATGGTTGGTTTTCACTGCCCTGCTTCTGTTACATTAATTAATCATTGCGTGTTACTGGATGGAGGACCCACATTTTAAATCTGTGGAAAAGAAGCCAAAGGGTTTTGGCTTTGGAGAGAAAAGGGACTAATCCTTCCCTATGCTCCAGCAGGACTTAAACCATTCCCAAGCAGACATTTCTTCAGAGACAAAAATTTCACAGCCATGGTACGTCAGCAATCAAATCCATTTCCAATCAACTCAGTGAAAAGCATCTCCTGCCTTCTCCAATTCTTGCTGCTACTTAACTAACAGAAGCTGGCTAATGCTGCTCTCCTCCACATACTCTTTCTGTTCTTGCATTGCCGGTAAACTCAAAGATCACACACTTCTTAGCACAGGGAGTGAGGCACCTGTGTGTGATGTATGAGAAACAGCACAGTAGGGGCTAGATACAAACCCAGTAAGAATCCATATACTTACATAAACCCGTAAACAGATGGGATAAAATCCCAGGAGTTGAGGAGGAAGAAGGAGAGGCAGATGATCACCACCAGGCTGCACAGGTACAGGGCTGCATACTGCACGGTGTAGAGCCAGAAGCTTTTGCTTTTTGGTTTGATAGGTATGAACTGACGCTGGAAATGAAATACAAGCAGGCAGATAACCCTCATCAGTTGGAAAGCCACAAGGAAGCAGAGTGTTCAGAACATCATTTTAAATCCATGAAAGAAAAAAAGCACCAAAAACTGGCACTATGGCACTGGAAGGACCAGCTTTCAAGCACAATTTGCTTCATGTTCTTCACTCTGGCCAATTCAGTCATACACACTGCACATATTTCCAGAACTGTGCTTGAAAATACAGCAGCAAAGTTGGTCACTTCTCACGCACTCAACGTAAGAATTACACCCATCTCCTCACAGCTACACTTGTATCTTACATGTCTGCAATACTGTGTAGCTGCCTGACTCCTACTGCTTGAACTCCCATCAGCTGGGTACCAACAGAAATCATCTACCTGTAGAAGGTAAAGGAGTGCTGGAGCAAACAATGTGAGAGGGTAGAGTGACTGGTATGTTGCTAAGGCCAGGAACACAGCACTGAGAAAGGCACTACCTGCAAAGAAAGAAAATATGCTCAGTTGTGAGGAACATTTAATATAAACAGCCTTACAGACACAAGTCCAAATGGGAAGAAATTCGTAACCCTCTGCAGGGGCTTTACAAATATTAGACCACTACTTAAAGGTGGGTTTAGCAGAATGTGTCCTGGAGAGTGTCCTTTTCTTAACTGCTAATTTTGAACAGAGAATGACTCACACCACGGTGATTATCCCATGGGAAAGAACCACTGACTGGTTTCTATCTCCTGTCATTCATATACAGAAAAAGATTTGTGTAATTCAGTCTATATATAGGCCATGCTGGCTGCTGTTTATGCATGGGAATGCATTCACTCGAGTCACATCCACATGAAGCAGCTGTTATACTGGGTGAGAACCTCATCACTAGAATGTGTCAGGTCCCTCAGCAAAGCTCTGGGAAGACAGCAAGCAGTAGTCTGCAGCTGAAGGAATGGAGTGGCATTAGCCTTACTTTACAGATAGATACCAAAGCTGAGGCATAGAAAGCATTAGCACAGCTTTTCCAAGTGGTCTTAAAAATACGAATGCCTAGACTGAGGAAGCTTTATTTGAGGTCTCAGGTTGAGCTAAGTGCCAAGTACTCACATTGTCCAATTACCAGCACCAGAAAGAGAGTCCAAAAGGTCCCAGGCTAAACAATAAAAACACAAGCCCAGTCTTCAGCTACATTCTTCAATACAGAAACGTCCCTATCCTCTGTTTTACTGAGTGTCCAGTTCTGCACCAATCTACAAAACTGGTACCCAAAAATCATACTCGTAATCTGATACCCTCTTTGCCCACTTTAAAACCTAGTGGCTGTCACATTGCCAGACAGGGACAACACAGGGGACAGCCACTATGGGTTTGTCTATGACTGAACTATTCCTCTTACGCTATCAGCAAACAGTTGAAAATCAGTTTAACTAAATGGATCACAATCATTTGCTTTTGCAAATGCTTTTAAATCAAAGCCCCTCTTGCCTCAATCAGTCAATAACTGGAGGAAAACTTTCTTTTGGAAGCACTACTTGTTTATGAGCTTTCTTTGCCATGTCTGGGGCTGGGCACTGCAACTCATGCAAATCACACATGCTAAAAGACTAAGCTGGGGAGTGAGATACAAAATAGAAACCTGATATTAGATACAAAATGAATGAAACAGCTATTCTGTCAGAATCTATTCAGCTGCACCAGTGTGGGTCTTTGGTTACTGTTTCTGCTTCCTCACAGCTCAATTAGCTGGTTTCAAACCAAGTTTACAACTGTGAGTGAAAGCCAAGTAACAGCTGCAGGCAACTGCTTGCTTTTGAATAAAAGTTCAAAGATGCACTTTGAAATTAAATTGTGTACAACACTTCAAGTGCATATTCACGTACAAAAGAAAGAGCATCAGAGCATTATGTCCTCCTACACACAGACACGTGGTTCTTCATGAACAGAAAACCATTTGAAGTCATCCAGGAAAAGGAGTCAGTTTTAGAGATGAAACTCCTAGGTACACCGAGGTGAGAGTAAGTTTTAACTTGACTATAAAGTCTCTTGATCTCATGATTTCAGGCACAATTTGGACCTTGTTCCAGCCTCTTTTCTGCAGTGTTTCACTGAGGTCTTTGTAGCAAGCAGATTTGTCAAGTTCTACCTTGATTTAATTTCTGCTGCTTTTGTAATCTCTATAGAAATTCATAAAGAACCATTTCTTCTTCACTGTGTTACCTTTTATTGTGGCTAAAATGAAGAATGCAATGACAGTATTGTTGATGGCGCAGGTGGACTTTGCCACACAAGACATCACAGTGTAGGGGTTTAACAGATAGCTGAAAAAGAGAAAAGCTTGAGTTACATTCAAAGGAATGAGAGAGCATCTAATTAAAGAGATGTTCAAAGGAAGAACGGATGCACTTTGACATTTCTTTCTGTCTATTTACATTTGATGGGACCTTCTCATCATCAAATGAGGTTTTCAGTCTGGAGCAAAACCCAGATCTTTGGATTGTGGCCTTGAGCAGAGGCCACGGGGAGCACAATGGAGGAAAGGAGATGCTGGGAAGTACTCAGGGCTGGGGTGATTTTTACCTATAAAAGGAAATTCAGACTTTCTGGGGTAAAAAAAATCTTCAACAAATGTTGAAGCCCGAAATCAAACAAATAAAGCCTAAGGGGAGCTGATGAACCAAAGGAGCCTACTGCAATACTTACAACAGTGCTACCTTGAGGGGGATGTAGTGCATTTCCATGGGTGTCTGGATGAGTTCAGCCACATCTGGAGCATATTTATCCAGTTCTATCAGGAGCTTTTGCTTTTTGAACTGAACAAAGGAGAATGACCAAAGACTGTCAGATGAGGAAAGTCACTATTTCTTATTACTAAGGATTTCCATTGCTATAGAACATACATGATCCCCAGGCGTGAGCCAAAACTCCTGTTATATGAGGTGCTGTACACACAGAACAAAAAAAGCCCCTCTCTTCCCAAATACTTCACAACTGAAGTGGAAGTCAAGAGGAAAGAGATAATCTCTACTTATCTGAACTTCCTTAATTTCCTGTGTCTCTCCCTTTAATCTACCTTGTATGATCCTCTCTATGGAGACTAAAGAGAAATCTGAATATGAACCCACTGAGCTATGTCATGGTAAGGCAGGAGGAGAGAGATCCTGGCAATAAATTCTCAAGGAGCAACTCAAAAACAGATTTTTACATGTCTGCAGTATCATGAGTCATTTCTTCAACCTCAAAGTCAGAGGACAAGGAACAAGCACGTGGCTGGATAGGAGACCTCACAGATGCTGTAGAAAACGCAGCCTCCCTGTTCATGTTGATACTGAACCACGGCCCCTCTGGGATCACAGAAAGCACAGCATCACTTACACAAAATGTTCTCTGAGCCACTTATGAGAGAGAGCTGGGAGGAATCACCTCAAAGTACATGTACTTATAATTTGAAAAGAACAAGTAATACTTGGTGTGAGACTTTCACCTTGCTCATTAGAATGATTTATGTCACCTCAGTATCATTGGAAGGTGTTATTCCTTCCTTTACACGTTTCCAGTCTATGTATTTACTCATGCTGTGTGCAAACACAAACCCTGTTCAAGGTAAAACATTTCAGGCACTAGCTACAAAATGCACAGAAGATTGTAGCAGGAGCAGAGGTGAGAAAAGGGAATGCTTGAGTCTTGCCAAATCCTTAGTCCAGTAATTAAACTTTGTGTACTGCAAACTGCCACGACTGAAGGAGGCACACATTCTAAAATCTCACATCTCCTCTTGTGTTCTGTGACCCTTATGTCTGCATTTCGTTGGCGATTGCATCCTAATTTCTCAAATTCTATATACTCCTTTCACATCAAAGAATCTACCCTGCTGTGATCATCATTCAAGTGCAGAGTGGTAACTACAGACACTAGTTTGTTTCCCACTGTAATATCACCGCAACAAAACTTACAATACCTCGATTGTTTACTGCATTCAGACCCCATGTTTACTGATCATCCAGATATGATCAGATTTACTTCCACAAGGACTGGTTGGTACTGGCAAAGATGCAGTATTTTGCATCCAAAGTTTTCTTTGGTACAAGATACTGGCAAGGCAGCTTACCACAACTTTGTTGAAGTCCTGGATGGCCAAGTAAAGGGCAACAGCAGTTAGCACATCAGTTATCTAAGAAAGCAAGGCACAGACAGACTGACTGTGAGCAAAATAAAGAAATGGAAAAAAAGATACTGCAATGCTGAATAAGGTCTGTGATCTGACTCAGCTCATGAGAAGAAAAAACAAGCTTTAAAAATGTTGGATTGCGGATTTGGACACTATGTTCACACACCACCCCTTAACCTTGAAGCCATGAGCTGTATCAAAGACATTAATGTTTACAGAATGAGCGAATAGGGAATTAAGGGGAAACAAATTGTTCATGGAAAGAAGTATGCAAGGGTAATAGAGAGAATCACTGGTTTAATTAGAGCAGAGGCAACACTGGGGCAGTGCCCAGCAGTGTGATAGTGCCTCGAGCTGTCCCAGGCTTACCAGGCAGCAGTACGGTCACCAGCCCAAGCACAGGGCAGATGGCTCTTAGCTCTGCACAGGACCTGCCCAGCAGGGATCTGGGGAAAGGCTCCACCACGTGTCATATGCAGCCAGTTGTATGATTTCTGTCCTTCTGAATTATGCAAAAGTCAGAGAACAGTTTACAAGGGACATGTGGAGGACTAACACATTTGTGCTCTCTTTGCAGGCCTGGGGTTTGGCAGCAGGTTTCAGTGAGAAACACTGCAGTGTAGGGGTTAGGCTGAGGGAACAAAGTATTCCGACCTGCAAGAAGTAACCTTTGAAATCTGAAGCCAAAAGCCAACTTCCTGCCCCTCTGTGGGGATACTTTCCTAACCAAGAACTCACAAAAAAGAAAGAATATGTACAAAAAAGGAAAAGCCTGAACGTGGGTTTGTACAGGCAAAGCTGCCTTTCCAATTAAACTGTGAACTCAGCA